TTCTGACCTAATCGCCGCTAATTTAATTTGTTTAGAAATTCACCGTCACGGGTACGAAACCGCGGCGTCGTCGCGCGTCCGCTCGCTCGCTCGCTCGCTCGCATTTTTACGCGCCGCAGCATCGGAGAGCTCGCCCGCCTGTCTGTCGCGCTCCAAATACCTGTTCGGCTCTACCCACCTGCCGTGATTATGGCTCGTGGCGTCCCACGTAAATCTAGCCGCGGTTCGCGAGGGGGGAACCTCGCGCTACCGTCGTGAGAATCCATTTTTCCGCCAGTTGCACTCTCCTTCCGGCTGCCCTCGATCAGAACCCTGCATACAAGAAATTGCAACCTGCTTCTTTTTTTATTATTGTCTCTCTTTTTCCCGGATCACCGAAAGAGGGACACATGCTATATGTATATATATATATCTTCTCTATTACTATCTATTATTATCCCAAGTGGCTTAAAAACAATATTACTATTTTTATATTATATATTATCATTTTTTGACTACTACTTTTAATACTATTTCTCTCTCTCTCTCTCTCTCTCTCTCTCTCTCTCTCTCTCTCACAGTACAAAATATAACAATCAATTTTTTATTTAAAAACATTTAAATCATACACAGGATGTTATAGAGAGATTCTGAGACATTCTTTAAAATCTCTGATACCAATCGATTACATATTATGAGATTGAATGTATAATCTCATATTGCACAATAATATTATAATGAATACACACAATAGTATTGAGCTGTTAGGATTATTGAAAAAAAATATTTTAAACAATACCGATTTTAAGTCAGCAATCTTTTAACAATTTAATAAAAAATAAAGCAGGTGTTTAAGTAGTAATTTTCACATATATTAATATTCTATTATATAAATATACAATCTATATTATTAAATAATTTCATAACAGAGATCCGCGTTGTTTTTCAACTGAGGAAAATCAATCGTACGAGAAGGACAAATCAAGAATTCATACATCGCGTAAAAGATAAATAACGACTCTATGGGATAAATGACAGCCACCGATCGTTGTCTCATTAACAATTCGGCCGAGATATCTCGATCGTTGCGGTTCGATCGTTGCGGACCATCGATTTCGCGTGTACTCACGGAGTTGCTCGCGCGACATCACAGAGATGCGGTTGATCATCGCAGAGTCGAGGATTGCGCGGAGCTCGATTTGCAGGAACGATCGTGTCGGCGGTAGCGAGAGAATGAACAAACGGAATGAACGAACACGGAACCGCATGCGTCGCGGACGACAGCCCGCGCGAGACTGCCGGTCCCCCGATGACGACGCATCGTCTTTGGCATTCGGCTTGGATGGGCAAAGTAGACGAATGGATAGGTAGATGGATAGATGGATCGATGGACAGACGCCGCGAGGCGTATAAAATGCGCGGGCGCGATTTTTGTACCTTTAATCACGCCGAGTACTTCATTGGATTCGATTAAGCTTCGAGCTGATTTCTCCTGAAGTAAAGTTTATTCGAAATGGACGTGTTTAAAAAGATTTGTGAAATCTCGTGATATAACAATGGCTGCATATTCAATAGAAAAAGCTTTGCAGCTGTTGTAGAGATTCTTTAATTGGTTTATATTTAGAGAGAGAGAGAGAGAGAGAGAGAGAGAGAGAGAGAGAGATTAAGAATAAGAGTCGTGTATTAAAGAATCTTATAACAGTTATAAAACAACTTTTTCTGCTGTACACAGCCGCTGACTTTTTTCACATCTGAATTTTTTTATCTTTTTTATTCGTGCCAATTTTGTTGTCCCGTTAACATATGTTCGGTTATATTAGACAGATAAGATTAATCATTATGGGGAACGATTAATTTGCCTGCCATAAATTACAGTGAAAGAGTTAAATGTCACGCAATTTTCAAGAAAATTCCTGACATCCGTAACATCAAATTATCATGTTATTTTGTTTTTCTCCGTAATTCTTGACTAGTTCGCGTGCGGCTCATCTTCTATAAAGCACGTATGATGATTTAATTGAGCTAATGGCAAATAAAAAACACGTAAATGAAAAACATGCGTTCGTTCATCAATTATATACTCTTCCTAAAGTGTAATCAGACCTCCGTAGGTTGTATGATGTAATGCGCATTTCTGGACTAAGCCGTGACATTGCATAACGTATTAAATGCGTATCGTGGTACACACGTAGCGCGAGTTATCGATGTACTGACTATATAATAACATACATACTGCTACACTTTGTCGTCTCATCGTAATTAGTTTCTTATGAGAAGTTACGTATCTATATTAATGTTCTCATAATTTTTATATGACGTAGTTCGATACAACAAGAAAATAATTGATCTACTCTGTGTTCAAAATTAATTTTGACAGGTTTATTTAAAAAGTTAATATATAAATCAAATTATTTAACTAAATTTTCTGTGTTTATAAATGTTAGAACCAAATTGAATTTTAATAATAGACTTTTCTACTATTTTGACCGATTTTTTAAATTTAATTTAAAATATCGATGCAATAGATAATGAAATATCAACATTAATTTAAAGAAATGTAACTGATTCCATAAAAATTTTAATTTTAAGTAATATTAATAATGTAAGGACTCTCAGAGTTCACCAAATTGTAACAGACGAGGAGACTATGAGAATAAGTGTGTGCGAAGATTAAATAATTTTATAATAAACTTAATCAATTAGTCCTTTAAGAATCTTACAATACTTTACTTGGCTCAAATATTTGAGACCTCATCAGTGAGAAAAAAAAACAAAGATTAAGACGTTGAAAATTGCTTGTCGTGTTTAATTTTAAGTTTGAAGATCAAGATGTTCAATGTCGCGGAAAATGTGCCTCGGGAGAAAAGTCGATTGCAAAACGGTCGACAAATATACCTACAAGTTCAAGTCCACTGCCGCAATAATATTTCGTATCTTCATAAATTTTCTCTTTTCCGCTTTGCCAAGGAGATTGAACATTGCCAACTCTGCTCGAAACGTTAGAAAAATACACATATAGCAGAAATCGAATTTGCTGAAAGTTTGAAGATTCATGTATTTTTATTTGTACTTGCCATGAGATTTTGAAATCGACGATTCGTATAGAAATTAAAAATCGACATGTATAAAGAATGATTTTAATAAAATATTAAGAAACTTAGGTAGATACAGATCTGAAAATAATTTTGGATTGTCAAAATAATTATGCAGAACGCTCGAAGTTGCTTCAAGAATGTCAAAACTTTTTGTAGCATTGTTTATGCTTGAATTTCCTATATAATTATTTTGATCGTCCAACAAAATTATTTTCATATGTGTGTGTGTGTGTGTGTGTGTGTGTGTGTGTGTGTGTGTGTGTGTGTGTGTGTCTACTTAAATTTTTTAATATTTAAGCAAAATCATTCTTTTCATATATGTGAGAGAAAAGTGGGAAAGTAATTTTATTGAACTGTCAAAATAATTATGCAAAACGCCCAAACTGGTGGTTTAACTGGTTGTTAAAATGTCAAAACTTTTTGTAGCGTTGATTATTGTACTTGAATTTCCTTCATAATTATTTTGATTGTCCAACACAATTATTTACAGATCTACCTGCATCTACCTGAAATCCTTTAATATTTAAGCAACATATTGTTCTTTCCGCGTACACGGAAGAGGACAGGGTAGAAGAGACGTTTGAAACGGCGTTTTGAAACGGTATGCATTTCGTCACGCTAGCGTGTGCACCGCGTATACGTACGTCGTAAATGCAGTTGCTCGAGAGGGATCGAGACAGAAGCAGAAGTAAGAAGAAGAGGAAAAGGAGAAGGCGACCGAGAGACGAGGAGGGCCTCGACGTCGTCGTCAACGAGAGACCTTGGCGGCCCGAAGAGCGTTACCATTTTCGCGGGGCGTAGTAGCGGATTGACGCAGGTGTGGACCGATCACGCGGTGCCGTAGGCTACGCAGGGAAGGAACGCAAGTAGGTACACGGTTAACACGGTGCCCAGGGTGGGGCACGAAAGGGCGCGGGCATTTTTGCAGAGGGGTGAAAAAAAGAGGCCGAAGGTGTGGACAGAGTTCGATCGGTAAGAATCAACCTCGAGCTGACAAATTGTGGAAAAGATCTGTCATGATTTAATCGTGACGGTTCGTTAAATATTGATTCGCATCGTTAGCTATCTGACGCTAAATGTCCAGATCCGACCGTGACGTTCTCTAAACCACAGAGAACTTCTCTATCAAATTATTTTCTAGAACGATATACATTTATTGACGACAAAATTGTTACTTCTTCAAAGTTCTTCAACTAATTAATTAACAATGGTCTTTTGCAGATGTTACAGAGGTATATCATTATTATTGACAAAGGTAAGGAGAATGCATCGCATTTATTAATGTTATTTTATTAGAAAAATAATCTATTTATCTATGGCTTTTAGAGGAAAGATGTCTATTTTCGAAATTTTATAGCATTTCCTTGAATAAGATTTGTAATAATTCATTGTGCCATTGTATTTCTTGCCTTAAAATATGATATGGATTTTTTAGCGCCACTATCGTGTAGTTTTCCCGTCTTGTAAAGGTTAAATTAAATACAACTCTCACGTACACTGTCAGAAAGAAAATGATTACAATTTTATCATAATTTAATCATAATTTGTAGTTATTTTTTAGCCAACTATATATAATATTTTTTGATAGAATTATAAATATTATTATTATTACTACATTAAAAAATTCCATTTGGTTGAATCAACTAATCTCTTGTTTGATAAACAAATCCTTGGTTTAGTTTAGAAGTAAAAAGTTTGATTATTACAACATTTTTATACTTGTTTCTGATAATACAAGTAAAATTTTACAATAACCAAATCTTTTATTATTTCATCGCGTCGACTAAGGATTTGTTTGATTGAGTCAACCGAACTGGAATTCTTAGTGTAACATTATAATAGTAATAACTATATATAAAGAGTTTATTTAAGCATAATTATTTTACAATTATCACAAATACCAAATACAGTTCTCTTTCAGTGTGAATACATTTTTTTCTATTTCGCGGATATACACAGAAAGGTGTTCACGCGAACGCGATATCTCTCTTTCCCATCGAATTTCGCAAACAAAAATTTACTGTCAGCCACCCCCACTCGTCCTCATCGCGTATTATGCGTCACCCTATATTACGCGTCTAGTTTTATGCCAAACTAGAGCGCGCCGTGCTAAAGATAGGTCGTTGCAAGCAGGAATCGGTGTGCATCCATTACCGGCGCAGGGAACAAGGGCGACCTTGGCCTTACGAGCTTATATAATGAGGAAGCGGCCGATTCACGAGCTCAGTCGTTTCGACGCGATATTCGAGCCGATCGCGATCTACCAGACAGAACGCATTTTTCCGGATGCATTCCTCTTTTTTTCCTCTTCATATGCTCCATATCGATTTATACTCGAAACGTCATTAGAATGCTCCTCGCGCTTTTTTCCAAGAAGAGAAACAAATTGCATCGCCAATGCATTACTAAAGCGTCTATCGCTCATTTTCCACGCCAACGCAAAAGTTTTTCTTTTTCGCTCGAGCGCGAAAATCTAGTCGAAGCGTTTCTCCACGCAGTTTCATAAGCCGGCTAATTGTAAGTTAGCGGTCTCAAAGCATTCGAATTTTTCTTTCGCACTTTTCGCTGTGAAATTAATTTTCGTTCTATTATGATCGGAGATCCACTACACAACGTTGGAAACTTCCACGAGGTCGTTAAAGAAAATGCGAACGACACCGCTCGAGATGGTAGTCGCTCGATCGGAAAAATAAAAGTGCCATTAAAGGAGCGCGCGCGCTGCTGCAACTGATCGACTGACCGGAGATCGCGGTGGGGATTTCTCCGCTACGCTGTGGAAAATCAACGTCTCTTCTTGGCAGAAACGGAGGTAGCCCGTGGGTGGCAGCGGCGGCACGACAGAGATCGCGAGCCTCTTCCGCTTTTTTGACAGATGCGAGCGTCAGTGCCGCGCGACGCGTCGCAGTGCCCGTCAAAGTGAGGTCGAGCATTGTTTACGACATTGTTTACGCAGTGTTCACCCGTTCGCGGTGAGTTCCGAAACGACGAGATTGCAATAAGATTATATACGCGGAATTCGTATGACATTCTCGAAATTCGAAACCCGGATTAGTAAACATTTTCTAAAAAAAAATCAGTTCTTCTATTCTTTAGTTAATTAGTTCTTGAATATTATGTC